CTTGGATATTAGCCATTTTCTAAAATCGTATTAGCTATTTTTCTTTATATATGTGTCCCTTGCATTTTATGCCTTTTAAAATACAGGATTGTTCATAGACCCACAAACCTGGTGAAACAATGCAAATATTTGACGTTTTCCTCTGATTTTTATTCAGGGGCCTCTATCCCTCACCTCAGCATGCATTAATCGTGAAAATGTGATAATTTTTAGGTGTTAGTCTTTAAGAAAAACTTGTAAATCATTTATGATGATGAATGAAGAGAAGAGTGAATAAAATCCACCTTTTCTTTATTATTAGCTTGCGAAGCTTATAGTTTCAAGTATAATGGGAACTGGCAGACATCAAGACAGGTGGGTGTGGAACAAGGTTTGTGATCAGGGTTCAGGTCAGTGCTGAGAACAGTGGTGCACATTATTCCAGGCTGATGCTGTCAGATAATTTAGTCACAAAAGTAATGATTTAAAGCTACATGTTTAATAAACCTCCTATCAGAAAACATTACCACCTGCTACAACTTCTTAGCGATTTAGTCGCTACCTGGATTATCTAATCTGGTTTAAAGCAGATCAGTATTAAATAAGTACAAGAAGATGGAAGAATCATTACATTACTGAAAATGTCTTCTCCCTTTCAAGACCAGGTAGAAGGTGTTGTGGGTGGGTGGGGGGGGCGGGAATCCTTTTTTTTCCAATCGAAATATTTTGGCCTAAGTGGACATAGTCATGCCCTTTTGCACAATTTAGTTAGGAAGGCTGGAATTTAAATTTGTGCTATTGATAGAAAAACAGCTGAAAATGGAAAAATACCGTTAACACTTAGCAGTTTTGATATTGCATTGATTCTAAGCATCTTCATGTCAATAGAGTCAAAATATAAAGTTTTCATTATTTAGGCAAAAGCAAAAGAAATCTGAGAGATTAAGAAGGCTGTCTATAATAATATGGAAGACAGAAAGGGAAGTACAGCTGTGAATGGTGTATTAACACAGTCAATCTCAAGTATGCAATGATTTCTGCTCATTCGTGTTTATGATTCAACGTGACTTTAAACCACAGGGAGAGAGAAAGGAAATTTTTAAAAGCCCCACAACCAGCATGTTTTTAGTTTGAAACATGCTGACAATCGTGTCTAGAGGAACGTTTTAGAAAGGTCTCGAAATTTTACATTACCACTTAGTTCTGGGTTCAACTAGAGTAGAAACAGTACAAGCTCTCATTCCCATATTTCAAGTAATATATTTGCCATCTTGTGACTTCTGGGGCCATCTTTCCTTGTTCTTCGGATCATTAGACATTAGCAATTGTTCATCTGAATTGAGCTCATAACATTGTTGTGAGCCAAAGTTTTCATTGTTTTTGAATTTTGAGCGCTGAAGTTAAATCTGTGAGAAGAGGTTTCAGAGAGAAAGCTAGCTGATTACTGCAAGTGTCTGCAGTAAAAATGATCCTTTCTAGGAGCTGCATGTATGCATGTATTGGTTAGGTTTGTATAATTAAGAACTGTAATGAAAGGAAAAGTCCATGATTGATTTTACGGTCGTGACTGATCTGTCGTCCTATGATTCAAAACCGGTCCAAAAACGAAATGTCACATGTTTAAAAAAATCAGACGGCACTGAGCTTGTAATGTATATTTTATTTTGCACAAGCTTGCATATATACTGCACATACATTCAGTTTAAGAGAAGATGGAAGGCACACAAGGCAATTGGACTACTGTATCCTTTAAGTGGTACAAAGCAAAAGGTAAAAGTTTGGAGAGTAATACAAAAGCTTAAAACACACAAAGTAAAACCCCCTTCCCACCCTCCCCCCCAACGACTTTTTATTTCCTGTTTTAAAATTTAGTAGCTGCCAAACTAATTTTTTTTTTTTTTACTTTTACTTTAAAATCAATTGTCTACTGCACCTTTTTATTTTCTTTTTAATATGGACAGGGAGTCTCATTTTTAAAATCATATCAATTAATATTACAGTACATCCTTGGTAATACAAAATTGTACACCTTCATCAAATAAATTAGGATAAATTAAACCAATAAATTATGCAAAGTCTTCAGAACAATAGACAACAACAAAAATCCACAATTGAAATTGCCTCTAGCTAAAAAAAAAAAAAAAATCAAAAATTGACTGTATCGGTTATTGTACTATATTCAAATCAAAGGATCTTTATTACAAAAAAAAAAGAGCTTAATAATGCTATTTACAACATATTGCTAAATAATATAAAGGCAGTGTTTTGTCACGGTTTATACTATATACATATGAGAAATGGCTGGGACAATATCGGGGAAGCCACGACCTTTGATTCTTCTAGGTAGCGCTGAGACCAATCCCAAACACGTTTGTTTTTCTCATTCTCATTTTGAAGTGGTAATATACGATTTTAAAACACTCCCCCTGCCACATGGAGAATTAGAATATTTAAAAAATACAGAACGAATGCATTTTTGCAAAAGAGGGCCAGTCCGTTTGCCTTTTCTGTTGACGTTTGTGCATTTTAGGGGGTGTCAGATTTGAGAGAGGGTTCAGCTGAAAAGACTCAAAGCCCAGATGCTTCCAGATTCTGTTATATTCTTAGAAGGATAATTATAAGAAGATGTAAAGGTTAAATACCAGTTTTGATCCCAGCTCTGAACATGAGCATTTAAGCTTTAGTTTTATAGATGGTTTACAACCAACAGATCTACAGAAAACAAAGCTGCATTTCCTTCAACATAACATTTAAGTGCAATACAGTAACTGCTTACTCATATAAACCAGTTACATTCTTTTAAGGGGAGCTTTTTGAAAACAATGCTTCTTGTAATTTACAAACACAGAATTTGTACCAGAAGGAAACATTTGTACTATTCACACCAATGAATATTCTATAATATACATGGCAAAAAGATTTTCTCTGTCCTCACATGTACACTGCTTCTGTCAGGGGAGTCTGTGAACCACTTTTTCTTTAATGAATTTATGATTGCTTCTGAGGGACATCCTATTTTTAAAACCCTCAAATCCTTAGCTTTATGACTTAATATTAACCTGTGTGTGTATGCGTGTGGGGGGTGGGGGTGGGGGAGGGAGTTACTTACTATATGTCTTCATGTACATAGAAAAGAAATTTCATAAATTTACAGAAACTGCATTACCCTTGCCCTTGACATCTGATGAAAGAGACTGTTATCTTTTAAAAGTAGAGAGCAGGATTTTCAAGAATGCTTTCAACTGTCTATACAGTCACTGGTGTTCATAATAAATTCAACAGATGTTGTGAGAATGTAGTTATTTATTAAAATCTCATGTCTTACGTAACAACAGCCATGAGGTTAAATATTTACATTGCTTTATAAAAGTTCCCCTCTTGCTTTAGTGTTTTTGTTTTGCTTTTTTTGTTGTTTTAAATTTTTTTTTTAAATGATATTCACCCACATCCTTAGTACAGCAACAAAGATTCCGCAAACATAAAACACTTTAATTAAATAATACTCGGAGGCACAAAGCAAACTTCAGGAATATGTGAGTGAACAGTTCCTTAAATAATTACTACATTCTACCATCTTCCACATTGTTTTTTACCATTTAATGTGAAACGTCCTCATTAAACAGCCAGAGATACAGTAAGAATTAAATGTTTTGTTGCTGCAAATAGAACATTCTTTTCACAAAACATAACAAATGTCTAAAATAGGTCCTTAAATCTAGATAGGAAAAGGTAAGCTTTCCACTTCACACGCATATATATATGTATATTTTTACATGTGTGTATATGTGTGTGTTTTTATGTTCACACATCTGCACACACATATATAGCACATGGTATGAAATATTGCTTCTATACTACTTTTTATTAGGCTAAGAAAACACAAGATCTGCACCACAGTTACAAAAAATTGGCTTCTACAAGAATTTTCAAAACTCGAATGCTGCTCAAACAATTGAGGAAAAAAATAATTTGCGGTATCAAACTGTTCTAAAAATTCTCTTCTTCAAAAACGTATTCTCCCGCTTTGTTTTAAAAAGACACAAAATATGCATAGCTATCAACGTTATGTCAAACAGCCAGAAGAAAAAAAGAATCTAGTGTTTATTGCAGCCGTAGTAATTGGAAATAAAGTCAAAAAGATGAAATCGAAAGCCACAGAAGGCACAAGAACAATTGTACTTGTGGGAAAAAACTGGTATTTTGAAGGATTTTTTAAAATCCTCCCGCTGGTGCATTTTAGGTCTAGGCACAGACTATAGTCTCAAGTGTATATGCAAAAATAATTTAGGGTTAGCAGAAAATAAGTGGTAATGTGGTATTTCAACATGGACTTTAGACTTTTATTTTATTTTTTTCTATGTAAACTGTCCCTCATCCTTTGCTCTCCCACCATAGAAAGTTAACTTTCTCCCAAGTAGCCAATTTTCACTTGGTGAGAGTTAAGATTTGAAAGATGGTGATTTAAAGAAAAAAAACCTGTTAAATAGGAATTTTGAGAGACAGGTTTTTGTCATTTTCCAATGCACTGGGAGGCACAATGTTTTACAATTGCAAAAGGGGAGGAAAACACCTTAAAGCAAGGTGGTTGAGTTCTATTTCCAGAACGATGAGGTGAGCTTATCTTCACGCTGCAATTTCTACTCCATAGTAATTTCTATGCCTCAGTGAACATCGAGGGGATGTTATCGTTGATAAGAGCATCAGCATTTGGTTGTGAACACGCACTTTTGCTTAATTTGGCTATTTAAATTAGAGAGGCAGGGGAGAATAATACTAAAAATCCAGATAAGTCTGGAATCAATACCGAATTTGCCCCGGATCCAGAAGATTCGAGCGATCTGAGCACACAGGTGAACACACCGCGGTTTTGCCTTTTACCTCGCAAACGGCAACCCAACGCTGATACGAATTACATGGAAACGCAAAGACCCAGTTGTATCTGACGTGGACAGTGCATGCCACACTCTTTTACAAGAAGCGAGGCAAAAGAGTGTGACCAAGGGTTGAGATTGCTTCCCTACCTTATGCTGATTGAATTTTTTTTTTTTTTTTTGGTTCGCATTTTATTCCAAGGTAATGATTATCTGAACTTTTTTTTTTTTTCCTCGAGCAAGCTGGACCAAGAACAAATCGGATCTGATGGCTCTGGGTGCGTTGTGGAAGACAGTGCAAGCCACGTGATGTGTCTGTGGGCGCAGAGCGAAACCGGTGGTGTTCCAGCCCACGCCACGGTGCTCTGTCTACACTGCGGGGGCTGGCTAGTTTCCTCAGTGATGCGGGCCATCAGAGGACTGTGCTGTTTCGTTTAAAGTCAGCAGGTTTTAAGGCTTTGTGCTGACAATAACTGCCTTCATACATTCCTGTCCATCAGCAGAATTTATAAACGATGTTAAATTACAGCGATTGGGTCAGCTGGTTAGTCACGTGGGTCGACCTGCATTCTCCGAAGTCAGATGGATTTTTATAAAATTGAAGGAAAAATAGTATTTATGTTCTCTATGATCTAAATACCGAGTCTGTTACTGTGTCATTTTAGGAGGTGTATATCAAATCAAATTACTTAAGGGGAAGGGAGGGTCAGGAAAAACCTATGAGAGTGAACAAGGAATTCTTACTGCATCTGCACACGAAATCCATCTAAGAAAACAAGTGTGAATGCCACACGACTTTTTAAGAGCAAATATGGGACGTTGTCTACCTTTGAAAAACTGGAAAAAGAGAAAAAGAAAAAAAGAGGAGAACCATCGAAGAAAGCATAAAGTAGCAGCTAGCTTTCTTATGTGTGCTAAAATTGTGTCTTTTGGGTTGATCCCCAAACTTTGCTATGCTATACACTCTTCTCCCATTTTGGTCAATACTAGCTTCTGAATTAGAAGAGATTTTATCAATTGCTTTAAAATGCTACACCTAAAATGAAGAAACACTTAATTAGACTGTCACCGCTGTGAACTATCCATCAGGGTAGTGTGGAATTGTATATGAAAATAGGTCATTCTCATACACGCTCCTCTCAGGAGGTGAAGATCAAGTCAGCTAATGGCTGTCAACAAACTTCTAGCGTAAGCAGGAAATTTATGGTCAAGTGGGGATGTCCTTTGTTCCTGACTATAGGAAGATATTCAGAAAATAGTGGGTTTTTTTGGGGGGGTGGGGGGGGGTGGAAGTGTTAAATAGTAAACAGAAATAATAATTCTTGTAAGCATATAAACAAATTTGAGCAAAGAGTAAATTTGAAACTTATGTGCCTTTTAATATCTGAAGCAAGATAAATAGAAAATGATAACAAGTTACAGGGGCTTTTTGCTATGAAGAATGATATAGACTCACTTATTATGAAGAAGAACCTATTGGAAAATTTAGAGAGGTGACTAGAGGATCATGGATGAATTTCCAGTCTCATCTTAGAAGAGTCAGTTTTGTGAAAAAATTGCTTTGCCTCCATGAGAAGTTGGTACTAGTTTGGGGTATCTGCCATTTCTCTTAGGAAAGGCTTGACAGTGATTATTTTTCTTTTTGAAATTTGGCCTTTTGCGGTACTTTAAAAATAAGTTATTCATCTGCCATTGGCGTTATTTTTAAACATGAAATAAAAAGCTACTTACTGAGTTTAAACCAAAGAGTTAAGTGTATGAAGTGGTTTCATTGAGTTTTCCAACCTTCTTAGCAGTAAAAACAAGAGACACATCACCGTAGAGCTGTGCTGTGTCGTGGGTCCCCCTCTGCCAACCGCCATTCACAATATACCATCCGTCAGGCAGAAGCATCTTTAACGAATGCCCTTCCTTGCTAATATAAACTTTACACACGTCAACATTCCTTTTTCCCTGAAAATTAACCCTATTTTAAGTCTCCAAATGTTAAGGGCCTTGGGCAAAAGTAAACTAAAGGCAGAAGGAAAATAACCATCCCCTTGCAATGGAAAACAAAAGAAGTCGAGAGAAAGGTGATGAGGAGGAATTCCCAGCTGATTTCATAACACATCCATGCCTCCCACACACACACATATATATGAAATCAAAACCTAGACACGTAGAACTTGGACATCCAGAGGGGACTGCTACTATTCATACATTCGAAAAGAGTTGTTGAAATTTCTACTCATGAAGCAGCTCTTGGAGGCAGTTCGGGGATTTGAAAATCTCAGGGACTTCACTATCCAGCTTGCAGATGACCTTGTATATGGCCTTCTTCCAGGAAGGATCAACATCTTTGCCTGCGATAATGGCATTGAAAAACTCCCGTAATGTGATCTGTGCAACTTCCAGGAATCTCTCTGGAACCTGCTGATACAAGGAGACAATGGCATTAATAAAGTTTTCAGTTTCAAGTCTCCAGTTCTTCAAAGGAAACTGAGCTAAGTTCTTCGTTTGAGAAAGGGGCTTACATGGCACCTGCATTTTCTAAAAATGGCCGGCCTCTATTCTCTTATGTAAAGTTGTTATATATAGCAGCACTGTAATGTGGAGGTTGACAGCTTTGTAGAGTTTTAGAAAGACCTAGGCCAAAGATACATGCAGACCAGTGGAAAAGCTAGGATTCCATTGAGAATATTAGGGCATTAATGAAATAAGTGTATTCCAGAAGCAAGTCTCCAACCAGTCTTTCAAACTGTGAATCCTATTTCCTTTGGATTTCCATTACGAAAACAAAATGTGTTCTCAAAAGTCGGATAAATAATTGGCCTTTGATATAAACTAAGCCCAAGAAAACCAAAGTCCGAGTTGCGTGTTTGAACCAGAGGGTTGACTCGCATGGTAAATTGTATATCGAAGTAATCTGTACTATAAAGCACTCTACACACAAAAAGGAGTGAGATAATGACATTAACTCTGAGTCCTAAAATATAAAATTTGTACTGAATCTTAAAATTATACACCAGAAAATTCTTTACCTTGAGATGAGATACGCTCCATAAGAAAGTGATTTATATAGCTAATAATAATAAAAAAAATTAATATTCTTGTAGTGCTTATTAAGTGTTGGGCGATGTGTTACAAACTGAACGTGAATTATGTCATTCAATCCCCTAACATCTCCATGAGGTGTTATTATCCCCATTTTACAGTGAGAAAACCGAGGCTCAAAGAGATCAAGGGAATTGTTCAAAGTCGTTATAGCCCAAGATAAATATTCAACAAATATTCTTTTTTAGGATCCCTATTTTTTCAATCCTTTTCTTCCACAGCAATTAGTATATATGTATAGTGTGTGTGTGTGTGTGTGTGTGTGTGTGTGTGTGTGTGTTCTTAATTGTTTATTTAATAGTCTGACCTCTTGTCTAGGGAAAGGAGTAGCTAGTGATATTCTCTTTTAGTATCCTAAAGCATGGCCTGTCTTTCCCCATCTCAAGATAATGAATTCACAGAATCATTCCAAGAACTCATAATTTTCCAAGTACACATTGATGCTCAGTAGATTTCTTTTAGTGGGGTACTTTTGCATTAATAATGTTTTATTTTTACAGTAAGTGCAGACATATGAGGAAGAAAATGCCCTATAGTTGTATGTGTAGACAGATCTGTCTACACATATAGAAGAGATGAAAGATTTTCACGTCAGTTAAGACATGTCACTTATCAAACAAAAAGGGAGGTATTGTCCCGTTGAACATAATCGATCCCTTTCTCCCCACCTTTTCACAATTTGTGCAATGGACCTTTCTATAATGATAGTGACTGTTAAATTAAACTAGAATGGTCACTATTTTTACACAGACTGTTTTAAACATTTAAAACTATTGGACATAGAAGTTCAATGCTTCCAGTGGCAAGTCACTTATCCTTTAAAATAAATCTATTTACTTTATAGGGGGGAAAAAAAAAAGGCCCCCCACCTGTGGCCAATCAGAGCCTAGCAACAGGAAGAACTTTGAGCGGCCCCTCCCAAAGACGCACACATTGGCCAGTTTCTCACCACATAGTTCCCAGCACTGCCTAAAAAACCATCAAAACACCACCTTGTCCCCTATTAATGTGCAAACCCGTAGGCCCCAATGGCCATTCCTGCAGAGTTCATCTGGAAGTTTTACAAAACTCTGGTGATTTTTCTCCAAACCTCCTGCATATACATGAGTATTTGTGGGATGGGAGGGGCCTGGGGGAGAGATAAGCACTCTCACTCACCTTAGACTAGTAAGTGAAACGTCATTCAGCAATTTTTTTGAGCACTCTCCCCACTTTCTCCCCAAACGATCCCTCACATTTGATCAAATGGGCATTACTGAGAGAAGGAATCTGGCTGGAGGGCAGTTCGGCAGTGAGGATACCCACTCTACTTGGTTTGAAAGCTGTTAGCCAAAAGCTACAGAAACATAATCGTGAGCACTTATTAGAATAAACATTTAAAGAAGTGTGGTTTTACTGGCCACTGGCAACAGAGCCGTGACGAAGATCTACGTTCCTTGAACACTCGGCGGTGTGACATGGCATGGCAGAGAGCTGTGAGGGACAGAGAGGACCGCAGCTGCTCCAGATGAAGTCAGAGAAGGCTGGAAGCCCCGCCCACTCCAAGGAGCCCACGGGTCTGGGAGCCGGGTGGGGGGTGGGGGATGGGGGAGCAGGAGGAAGATAAATCTAGAACAGTGTCAGTCAGCACTAGGGGGAGGGAAGGGTAGTTCTAGCGTTTGCCTGAAAACAAATTAACTTCTTGTGTGTGGGGGGGTGGGGGGCAGGGGTGGTGTGCAGCATCCACCTCACTATGCTTATCATTTGCCATGCTTCTTAATGATTTTTGGTGGGTTTTATCCTTTTTAAAACATTCGTTTCTTTTAGTAGTACTCTTGGGCTGTCCTTTAACATCTTTTGTACTTGTCTTGATATTATTTATCTTTTCACCTACTTACATCTAGTTGTAATGAATTTATCGAAGTTGTCTTTAGATAAAGAGCCATGGTTTCTACTCTCACATCCCCCATAATGCTTAGCAGCGTTCTTCTGAATAGTCTTTGATAGATCGTAATGAGATCTCGCCTTCTGCTTTATTCCATATTGCTCTAGCATCACACTCATCTTCTCCCTCAATACTTAAAAAAAAAGGAATTTTTTAAAAAGATGGAATTTAACAAATTGGAACAGATCTCCGAAATCATCATTTTATACAGGAAGAAACTGTGAGTCTATGAGATGAAGAAATTATGCGATTAAGAGACTTATGAAAAATAACTTGTCCAGGTGTCATTCCATTAAACCATTTTTGCTCTTTTTTAATGCATTTTCAGTTATTCCTACTTATCTGAGGCATCAAAACCTGGACAAGCTGTGATCTGTGATTGAAACAAACCACAGAAGATCTAGGAAGTTCAAAATAAATGAGACTGATACGATGATCTCAGGAGGAGACTTTGTCTTTGGTTTATGCTTGGGAAGGGGTGAATTCTTTGCAAACAAATGAAATTGTTTGCTCATTTAGTGCTTACTTTGAGGCAATAATCCTGCAACAAACTGGGTCACATAAAATAAAGTTATAACGAGATCCTCTAATACTAGAGCAGTTCATCTTTTTTGGTGGCTCCAGAGAAGCAGGCTGATGGGTAGCAGCTTGTCTTCTGAGACCGCCAAAGAATTCCATCCACAGGGAGAAATATCACCCATGAGAAAAAGAGACCCTTACCTCTCTTCTAGAACCATTTCCCCAACTCCATTGAACAGAGTAAAGTTGGGGGTGGTGGTGCTTTAGAATTCAGTCTTCTGAGAATAATACTGCCTTGATTTTTCTGTACCTCTTCACACCTAATGGATTTCCAATCACTAATAAACATCTGCAGAAAATCCCTTAGTGACAAGTAATCCCTTATCTAGGTTTCTTTTAATAGAACCCAACAATGTGCAGAATGAACCCTAGAGTATCTCCTCAGCATCAGGTGGCAACAGTCAATCAAGTCCCTGGAATGCAAGACAATGCAGGGCTGCTGGGAGGGGGAGGGAGGGCCATGCCTTTGGACATGCCACAGGGGAAAAACAAAAGCCTCCAAAGTCTCTGGCTGGGACTCTGAAGCTATTGTGGGAGCTGCTGTGCGGAGTGTTCTTCAGGAGAGGAGAGTGGAAACTTTGCTCTGATAAAAGGCATCCCAATATAGGAGCCTCACCCCGAACGGTCCCGCCTCTCCTTGCCTTGATATTTGGAGGGGAATAATATTGCGATGAGGTACTTGAAGGCACTCATAAATCTGAAGGGGGCTGGCTATCAGCGTCTACCAATTTCATCACAATCGTCTGTACTTGAGTCTCCTCACAGCAAGAGGGCCTTGTGGGCTTCCATGAAATGGAGAAAATGGGAGGATGTTTTCAAGTCTGCTGTCTGTGGCTGGGTTGTGCGCATGTGTGTGCATACACACACACGCGCACACACACACACCCCGAGGGTTGTGTGTGTGTGCACGCATATGTGTGTGTGAGTTGTTAGTTTGCTGTCCTTTTTTTTTTTTTTATCAGAATGAGTGGCAAAGACACATTTTCCCCTGTCTTCCTCCTCCTCTTCCCAGTTGCTTTACCTTCAAGGATGATTTGTTTTATTAAACTGACTGTCCCTAGCCTCTGCAGTACATAATAAAAGCCTGACATAGCAGGCTGCCTGCCTTCTGTGTCCTGCAGACACTCATCATAAGTGTCAGGACATACCAAGGTTAGCGGTCACTGAAAGTGTGCTCGCTGGCCCAAACCTTGCCAAACGCTCTTGGCAGCTGAATGAATGTCACAGAGAATAGAAGGGGAATTATAAAGGTTAAAAAGAAGACAGCCTTTTCTATTTTCTGGAGACAGAGAAGCTCATTTTTCATACCTCAAACATCCGCAAGCTCATCCATCGGCCTCTTGTGGGGGACCTAAGCCTTGCCCCTTGCATAGTTCCCCATGGATACCTTTCCATCCTTGATCCCCTTTAAAAATTGGTCCACTGGCCTAATTTCATCAGTGAAATGATCTTTGCTGAAATAGACAGAAAATAAACCAGGCATAGACCTCTCTCCCTGGCCCCTCCCCAATAACCACTATCTCAAAGGGCTTACCAAGCTTATCAATAGGTTACAATTTTATCAAGGGAGATCATCATTTCAGTTCATCTTTTAAATTATTTTTTTTGCCCCCTCAAACTTACTTCAACGGGGAAATGGAAAAGGAAACATATGGATGGGCAGGAGTGGTTAACTGATGGAAAAGTAAAATCCTGGCTAGTATTTTGGTGAATTAGCTTGTGTTTAAATTTTCTTTCTTCTTCCTCCTGGTTTTTTTTTTTTTTTTTTTTTAATACTATAAAAGGGCAATAAAATGCTGACTGTAAGAAGACA